TTACTACAGTGTTTATCTTTTGAAAATAAAAGTAGGAAATCAACCTTAAAAAATTAACACTAGTGTTGTAAGGAATATCTAGCTTCAATAACTGTTAAGATAACCTATTTCTTCAGAGTAAAGAATAATACCCTTGTAAAACATATTGCATATGCTTGCTAAATTATACACTTAAGGTTACTTCACAGTTATTTGTTGTTTTTAAAAAGTATACTAAAGTAGATCCCAAATCTTAGCAATATTTATGGCTTTCTAACAATAAAATGAGATTTTGCAAGGTAAGTTTATATATGTACGTGTTTTTGTATGTGTTATATATCTACGTAGGCCTGTGTGTCAATATGTACTTGTATTCCAACTGTGTGTTACATTTTAATTCCATTACTAGATGCACTAAAGTATAGCTTTAAAAGATACATGCACTCTAGCATTCAATGGTAGACTACTGTATGCCGTGAAACCTCTTGGATTGTAGCCACACTACCTAAGCCCAAAATGTGTACTTCAGGATGCTGAAATGATGCTGTAATCATGTCCATTTGAGGGATTGTTTTATAGCCCTTCTGTGGTGATGCAACTTCTTCAGGGAAGTTTGCTGTGATTTATTCCAAAAAATTGTTTTAATGCTTACGTTTCTTTAGAAAATAACAGGTAACTATTGCGTGACTGTAAATGTATACATCCAGAAAGCTTTCAACACCTATTTATTACCTTTTTATGGATGAAGGTAAAGAATTCTGACATAGAGAAATGGATAACTGTAGTATACGATGCCCTAGGATTTTAACTATTTGCAATATGCTGATTATTTTTACTTGCTCTTTAATATGATTATCTGTAACTGTTATGCTAGTATTATAATTAGCGGCCATAGATTTTACCTTTTTACATTTTTAACTATAATTTCATATGTGAAGATCCTATTTTCTTGACTTTACTATGTTTAATATGTTGACTGTTAAAATATTAAAGAGCATTAATAATTAACTAGATTTTAAACTAACATATTTATTTATCTATTTTTGTTATAGTTGGTTATACAACTGATGATTTACGATTCATCTGGCAGTCAGGGGATCCTGTTCAGTTAG